GAGTTTGAACTTGTGATCTTCCTGTCTTGGACTCCTGGATTGCTGGGATTAAGAGGTTTGGGAACAGAGACAAGTCCCTACCATAGCTTGGGGGCAAGGCTGGGGATCAGAAAGTAGAGCCGGGCATCTGCCTCCTCTGACTTTATCTGTTATACTGGGTCCCAAAGGGAAGGGGCAAATGGACAGATGTACAACAGCGAAGTTGTTTTTTGTTTTTTTTTTTAAATATTTATTTTTATTTATTACATTTATTTATTGTGTGTGTGTGTGGCCAGCTCAGCCCACCAGGGGACAGGGCTGGCTGGCGTGTGGTGCTGGGGGATTGAACCGCGGTCCCTGTGCTTTGCTAAGCTTAGCTTGTTCTAAGTAGGTACTTTCAACCACTGAGTCATCTCACCAGCCCCCAAATTCATATTGTTTAAGGTGACTTTCTTCCTTTTTAATTTTTCATACTACATTTCCTGAATGTTTTATTTTATGTTTAAATTTTATTTTAAAGAGGAAAGCAACAAAAACACATAACAAGAACAAAGACAAAAACAAAGTACCGTATGGCAATAAAACTGGTACAGAATTTCAAACCAAGAACATTTCCTGGGTATTTTACACACTCCTTTCTTTCTTTTTCTTGATTGTTTTTCCTTTTTGAATCCCATCCATGCATCCATTTATTTAGAACTATTGTAGGGTTGTGATATTGGGACGCCCTGAGCTGGGCACAGTGGGGAGCAGTGTGCACTCTGAAACCAGTGCGTGGCACGTCCAGGTGGGGTGATCTTCCAGAGCAGTTTCTGGAATGCTGCAAGTTAATGGGGATCCACTGAGCTGAGCCTACAGCCTCACAGCTACGGCGATACTATCCTTCACAAGACAAGAAGTAGCAGCAGCTTGCTTGCTTGCTTCCTTCCTTCCTTCCTTCTCCTCCTTCTCCTTCTCCTTCTCCTTCTCCTTCTCCTTCTCCTTCTCCTTCTCCTTCTCCTTCTCCTCCTCCTTCTCCTCTTCCTCCTCCATCACCATCTCCTCCTCCTCCTCATTTTCTTTTTTGAGACAGGGTCTCTCTATAATGAGTCCAGGCTGGCTTCAAACTGGTGAAGATCCTCCTGCCTCAGCCTCCTGAGTGCTGAGATTGTAGGCATGTGCAGCATTCTATTTCAAAAAGAGTCAAACTTTGGAGTCAGGTGGAGCTGAGCTTGTGCTGTGTGTTGGTCCTAAAATGAGCTAAGTGACATTAGGGTACTCCCTACACCTCCATTTCCTGTTTAGTAAGTTAGAGCTGACAGTGAAGAACACCTATCTCACAGGCTCTTTGAGGGTTAGATGCATAAATACTTGTAGATGGGAACCTGCGCATGGTAAGCCCTAAGGACATACAAGCTGTTATTATTATTATTATTATTTTTTTTATTTTTTTTTTTTTTTTTGGCGGAACCGGGGATTGAACTCAGGCCCTTGCGCTTGCCAGGGAAGTGCTTATTCCACTGAGCCATCTCCCCGGCCCCATACAAGCTGTTATCATTACTGACAATCCCGATGGCAAATCGTGGACCGTGCTTGGCCAGCAGCGGATCTCTCACCACACTTGCTCCACAGGCGAGGTGTGACTTTTGTTGCTGCTGTAGGGTTGGTGGAGCCAGGTAGTCTGCTTCTGAATAGGCTTTGCTCTCCTGGGGGTCACCTTGGCACACCATACCTGGCAGTGCCTGGGCTCTTGGCTTACAGGGGCAGCAGAAGGCTTCCTCCAGGCACAGTATTTTCCAGAAAATCTTGTGAGCATTACATTCAGTAATGTGCTTTCTATTAGAATAGTAACCACAGGAAGTAATTTGTAGTTTATAGTCCAGCTTTAATCATAGAAACCTGCAGTTTTTTAAAAGACACCAAACACATTTTTCTTGCAGGTTCATTTAAAATAAAAGATTGGCCGTGAGGATGCAACCTTGGAGTGAAGTGCGTGCGCAGTGTGTGCGAGGCCCTGGGTTCAACCCCTGCACCCCGTGGGTGTGCATCTTTCCTGAGAGCTTATTATGGGCCAGGCGTAGCGGAAGGCATGCTAAACAGTGATTCAGGGATGTGGGTGCCCAAGCGCGTGGTGTGGAGTTAAATCTCAGCGTCACTTGCTATCAGCTGTGGGACCTTAGCACCTTAGCTAACTTTTCCTGTGCCTCAGTGTCCCCATCTGTCAAGTTAGGGATGCCAGCAGTGATGCTCCATGGGATTGGGTGGTACTGTGTGATTAAGCTCAATAGTAAAGTGAGAAGAGGAGGACAGTTGTGTTGGTGGTCAGCGCTGTGGTTGGGCCGAGGCACAGGGCAGCGCCCTCAGGTCGCACTGTCACGGGTGCATGAGGAGTGCTCAGGTGACAGGGTAACACTGGCTGTAGACCATGACTATGGGAAAGCGTGGCGTGTGTACTGTAGGGAAAGAAGCAGGACAGAGCGGAGGCGCCCAGGCTCTCACCTCGGTCAGAGGAGCAGAACAGAGAAGGGAGATGCGCCTGGTGAGATCCAAGGGGAGGTAGGGACCAGGGATCTTGCTCAGTGGCACAGGAGCCTGGCCAGCAGGTACAAGGTCCTGAGTTTGGTTCCTGATACCAAATAAAAAAAAGAAAAAAATTAGTAGAAAAAATGAGGGCTGACCTGATAGCTCAGTGGACTAATGCGCCTGCTTAGACTGAGCACAGCAGCCAGGGTTCGATCCCTGGTGTGCTGTGCTGGCCCTGCCCCCCGCAGCATGCTGAGATGGCCATTGAGACTAGGTGTGGTGGCACACGTCTGTAATCCCAGCTCTTGGGAGGCTGAAAACAGGAGAATCACTATGAGTCCGATCTACGTAGTGAGACCCTCTAGACCCTGTATTTTTTTCCTAAATGCAGGAAAATAAAAAAAGAAAAAATGAGGGGGAGGTAAAAGTTGGCTGCCTGGGGCAGTGATGGGAAGTGGATTCTGCATTCTGAGTGGAAAGCGCAGGATGCACACGGGTGGAAAGGCAAGCAGGCCTTGGAGTTGAGGACAAGAAGCAATGTGGACGAGGAGGAGGCTGGTGAGGGGCAGGGCTGACGGACGGGGCAGAGACCTGATGATGGACTGCATGGGAGCGGGGCTTGGGGGTGGCGAGGAGCAGGCGCTGTCCCTGAGGTGTGCGGTGACCCCCTTAGCTGTCACCGTTCAGCGATCCGGGTGTTATTTGCCCCATTTTGTTGTGGAGAAGGTTAGGCCCGACACAGCTCACTGTCACATGCTCGAAGGTGTAGGTGTAGAAGGTGGCAGAGCCAGGCTTTGAGCTCCAGTCTCTCTGGCTGAGAGTTAAAGCTCTCCTGCTGACATGTCTGTCTCTGGACTTGCAGTCTGGCTAATTCCGGGCGACCTTTTGGCCTCGCTGGCTTCAGATTGCTTGGGTAATAAACAGCGGTACTAATAGCAGCTTCATCAGCTTGTGAAGACAAGTGGAAATAGATCAAAGGCCAGGTACTGTGCCACTCACTTAGCCAGCGTGGCTGCTGCACGTGGGCCCAGGTGCTCACACAGGGAAGCATTTCTCCTTCATGGGCCCAGGGACCTGAGAGAGAGCCCTGTGAGTCACCACTGTGTGTTGGCGTAGCGCTCACTCATCTTTCCAGGGACCTTTGAAATCTGCGTGGAAATCACACAAGGAACTTCTTCCCCCCTGCTTAGCAGGTGCGGCGTCCTCGTCTTCGGCTCTCCTCTCTGCCCACAGGCCTGCAGCCACGGAGCCCCCTTCGGCTGCTAGTGGTGATCCCAAGGACTCGCTACGCCCCACGAGCCGTCTCCGTATGAGCTTGCCAGCTGAACTTTGCCTTCCCCTCTGGAATCTGCTAGTCCTGATGTGCCTAGGAGTTGGAAGATGAGCCCCGCTGCTGGCTTGAATGCTTATTTAACTCTTTGGTTATTAACTTTGCTCATGTTGCCCACAGGGGCAGACGGCTCCAGTGGTAAAAGTAGACTGCTACAGTACCAGTAGGCCCTTGCTGGGTAGCAGCCGCTTTCATGGTGGTAGTCAAAGGTACCAGGGCTCTTGGGGAGGATTTTTTTTTCCTTCTTTAACCTTTAAAACAGGTGTCTAAAGTCGACAGAGCATACAGCATTCTTTTCAGCACCACTGGAGAAACTAAGGCCTATGCTTAAACAGTATACCTGTGTATTCTTTCCTTCTGTAGAGATGTTCACTAAATGTTATTTTGTCCCAGGGCTGGAAAAATAATGCTGAAAGATATCATCTCTTTACTGAAGAATCAGATAGGCATTCGAACAAAAAACTGTAAATAACAGAAAATTTTAAGACAAAGGAGGAATGGTGAAGAAGTTTCATTTTATTCCAGGGGGATCAGTGAAAGATTCGGGGTGAAAGGGAGGTTTACATTGTGTCTTGAAGGACTTAGTATGCTGAGGGGGTGGAAAGGAAGGCACCCCGAGTGGAGGAAGTGATGTCTGGCGTATGCTCAAGTTCAGAAGAGGCTTTGATAGGCCCCTTCACAACAGTAGGGCTGGCAGGTGGTGGGTAGGCGTCGGGGGATGGTAGGAAGGGTGGCCGCAAGTCCTACTGCTCAATCCCAGGACCTTAGGAGACTGAGAAAGCCCTTCATGTTCCTTGCCCTTCGCCCAGTCTCCTAATGGCCGGCACTTCTTCCCAGAGGCCTAGAGAGCTTGCTCCTGGATGGCCCTCCTTTCCCTTGCATCCCGACTGGCCTAGAACAATGTGTTGCATATTGAGAGAAAACAGCCTTATGATGTAAGGACCCTTGACCTGACTGCTTGGAGGAATGAAGGTTACAGGGTGAAAGGGCATTTTACCTCACGAGAGGTAGGGGACAGGAATAAAGTCCGCTGTGAGGAACACCTGTGCTCCTGTCGGCTGGCAGGGTCAGCGTGGGAGGGCGTGACGTGCTCCTCGCGGTGCTCCTGAGGAGGCAGGGCTGGGCAGCCCGAGCTCTGCGGGCCAGCTGGCCTGGGCCTCTCTCACACTTGCCTCTGCTTGCCTTGCAGCTGTGTAAATGAGTATGGAAGATTATGATTTCCTGTTCAAGATTGTTTTAATTGGCAACGCTGGTGTGGGGAAGACGTGCCTAGTCCGCCGATTCACTCAGGTGAGAGAACTCGCTGGGAGCTGGGGTTGAAGTGTCTGAGGTGGAGCTGCCCTCTGGGCATCTCGAGGATGGGTCTGCTCCTCATTCTGGCCTCTAGGCTAAGAGCTCTCCCTGATGCCTCCATCAGCCCTGTAGTTCAGGGTTTCTCTCAAGCACAGCAAGATGATGGAACCTGTGGTCACCGCCGACCTTCCACCACTCTCTTGCTTCCTTTTAGGAAAGGGTGGGGAGTTCTGTTTTCAGTGTGCAGTAGCAAAATGCATTAGATTAAAAGATAGATTAGCTCAGAGTAATCAGAGGTAGAAACAAATGACTCTGGAGGTCCAATGGAACAGAAACACTCATTGATAAAATACTCTAAGTGAAGCCTCAGGTCCCAGCCGTGCCACCCATGGCCTGTCATGAAACTGAGCTGTTTTTGGTCTGGAGCAAGAGATGCTGATTTCCTAAATCTCTTTAATAGGAACGAAATGAGAACCACAAAGAACTAGTGGATCTGGAGTGAATGTCCTTTCTGGTTTGAGTCCTTATCATATGACTCAAGTACAAGATTCCTCTGCAACGGCCCTCTTGGGAGTTGCGGGCCAAGATTGCATAAATGTTGTCCTACGGAGATTGGAAGTCACTCTCAAGTTGACTTTCTGTGCTTTCCCCTGAAAAATGACTTGTGCTCTTTTTTGGATTGTCATGTGATGGCTTGCGTTTTTAAGAACTGTTGGTTGGGAAAGCTGAAACCAGGTCTTCTAAGGTGCGAGGCAGCCTGACACTGCACACAGCGCTGGTGCTGGCGCAAGGACGGGACGTTCGTGGCCGCTTCCACTCCTGCCTGCCCTAGGAGCGCGGGTGCTTTTCCTCTCTCCGGTTTCCTCAGGCTCCCTCTGCAGCTCTGTGCAGCTCTGACAGCCTGTGGTTCTGTGGGCGCTGGAAGAGGAGATGGGGTAACACAAACAGTCACGGGCCAGGAGCCCCTGTGAAATGGCAGGGCTTCCCCCCCCCCGCCCCAATAAATAAGCGGGGCGGAACCTGCGCTTTTCACTGAGGCCTTGCCCGGTGAAATCAGAAGTGCAAAGCTAGCAAGGCTCGGGCAGCCGCCGCAGTAGTGGAAACTCCAACTGGTTTTCCATCCACCCAGCATTAGCAGTTTTTTCTGATTTTGACAGAAAGACAAGATTGTGGAACTGCAGTGCTGTAGAAAAACCTTTAGTCCCTTTGTCACACACGCTCTTGATCTTGTGCCATTGCTGAAGATCACTTAGAGGTCATTCAGTGCAATCCTTTCAGATGACAAACTGAGAGCCGGGGAACTGAATGACCTGCTTTTGTTATTTATTTTGTATTTTTTGGCAGAACCGGCGATTGAGCTCAGGCCCTTGCACTTGCCAGGCAAGCGCTTATTGTACTGAGCCATCTCCCCGGCCCATGACATGCCTTTGGTTGGAACCACACTCACAGCCAGGCCAGGGCTAGAACGCAGGTCTTCTGGATCTTCAACTGCTAATTTTTGTCTTTCGGCTCCAACCTCTGAGACCAGTTTCCTTAAAAATACAAGCTGGGTGTGGGGGTGCACGCCCGAGATCCTAGCACTTGGGAGGCTGAGGCAGGAAGAGCGCCAGGAGCAGGAAGCCAGCCTGGGCTACATAGTGAGTTCAAAGCCGGCCTGAACTAATATAGTCAGACTGTCTCAACAAACCAAAATTCACACAAACTCACAAAGCACCCTGTGGTTATTAGAGGTGAAAATATTTTCTTGTTGATTGTAATTTTTTATCAGTAAGTACAATTTTCTTGCTATTGTTCGTTCCTGTCTGTGTTTTCCTTCCCTGCCCTTCAGTCTCCCCCAAAGTTCTTATTCGTACATAGGGTGGTTTTCCTTGTGTGGCAGCGGTTGAGATGAATTGGATTCAGCTGTTTCTGAGGTGGGACAGGTTGGGACACAGAATAGGGGAGATGCTGGGAAGGGTTCAGTGTACGCGTTGGCATCCGTCAGGCTGCCCGCAGCTGGAGCGCCGAGGGCTCGGAGCGTGGCAGCCCTGTGTCTGAGCCAAGCCAAACTAGCAGGGAGCCGGCTCAGCGTCTGCGAGGGAGGCCACGGATGCTTGTCTTACATCTGCAGTGGGACGTTTTCCTTTGGTTCGAAGCTCAGCTTTTAAGTGCAGACTTTAACTCAGGAACTCTCTTGTCAGGGAGCAGATTTGATTAAAGACCTCCCCGTCTCTGCTGCCAGAGCTAAGAAAGTCCATTTCACTATAATTTCTCGAAAGTTTAGATTAGGAGTAGAGAGGGAGAAGAGACTGGGTGAGGAGCGCTTCCTCTGAAGAACTCCTTGCTGCCTGTGGAGCCTGCAGGAAATACCAGTGTGCTGATGCCTGCGTTTCTGCGAACCGTTCCACGTCACTGTGAGGTACAGTGGCTGTGGCGGTGTCCTCTGTCTTCCTCCTTCACCTCTCGTGACCCTTCTCCTTCTCCTCTTCTGTGTCCCAAACCCATTGGACTGGAGGCCCAGCAGGGCAATGGTTTGTGTGAGGTCACCTAGAAACGCCACCTCTGCCACCTCTGGGCTGAAGGCTGTTTCTACTCCATGGTTTCTCTCCTGGATGCCTGCAGAGTGTGGCCCTGGGCCATAGTGGGGTCACTGGGGCAGCGGAGAGCTCAGACGCTTCTGTCACCCCCAAGCTGCTCGTGCTGAGGTCTTGCTTTTGCGTGTGGGCTGTGTGGCCCTGTGGCTGCCTGTGTCAGGCCTGATGGCCGAGTGTAAGCTTCCTGGATTTCGTTTCCTTAGGGACTTGATCCCACTTGCGACCCTGGTGCCTGTGCAGCTCTCCTCGCCTCCCGCAGTTCTCGCTCTCTTTGCCCCTTCGTTCCCCGCCCTCCTCTGCACTTCTTTTGCTTTCTCTGTCCTCCTCCTTCGAAGTTAAGTTACACGCAGCTCCCATGACAGTAGCTGGAGTTCTGTTTTTTACCTGTTGACCTCCGCGCAAGGATGCCTGGGATAGCAGGGGTGGGGGCGACCTCATTCCAGGGAAAGTGATGCGTAACTCTTATTTCCGTTCTTTCTTTCTTAGGGTCTTTTCCCCCCAGGTCAAGGAGCCACCATTGGAGTTGATTTTATGATCAAGACAGTGGAGATTAATGGTGAAAAAGTCAAGGTAAGAGGCGAAAGTGCACCAGGGCTGTGTGTGCCTCGTGGGCGTTTAGGGGAAGGGGGAGGGGAGGTGGGGGGAGTGTTCGATAGCATGTGGGTCCTCTAAGTGCACACAGGGCGTTCAGCTGTGATGGCTTATGTCTAGTCCCTTTACCAGGGGCAGGAAGGGAGTTATTTTGGGTTGGGGCTGGTGTCTGTTCGGATCTCAAGGTGAAGGACCAAGTTTTTTGCCCTATCATTGTCAGCTCAGAGGTGCTGGTATTACAAGAAAGTAAATTACTGGGTTTTTTGTTTGTTTTCCAGTACTGGGGAAAGAAGCACACACACAGTACTGGGGAAAGAAGCTGGGTCTGGAAGTGGTGCTGCTGCCTACGCATAGCAGCCTTAGGAAAAGCCTTCCAGTTCTCCCCGGCCTGTTGGCAAGTTAGGCGTATGGATCACGTACTAACACGACCCTCTCTCCCGCTACAATACTTTCCCTAGTAAGAGATTCTCAGTGAGAGTCCGAGAAAGGGTCAGTGCTCTCTCCTTCGTCGCTCCCCACTCTGGGTTTCTGGAGGGCTTGGTAGTGGGAAGAAGCCAGTCACAGGAGAGAGACACCGTGCTCACCGAGTACCGACTGTGTGTCGTAGGTGCTTGTGCATGTGTACTGATAATTACCTGAATCCTTATAAACCTTGGAAAGTGCCCTGTTACTCCCCTGCGCCCTTCAGGCTGTGAGATAACGGCCTTAGCCCTAGCGTGCTGTTGTGAGACAGGCGGTATCTGGACCTGTTTTAGGAGTGAGAGCTGCCTTCTGCCACCTTGCTCTGGGGTCTCCCCTGCAAGGAGAAGAGGGGGACAAGGCATAATGGCTCTATCATCTTGTAGCAAGCTGGTAAAGATTCCGATTTTGGGGAGTGTGTTCTGCCTGCCATTCAGTTATTGAAATTCTGTCACCAGATCTTTTGGAGCTAGATCCCCTGGGAGGCAGCACAGGGGCACCTCAGCTTACAAACACGTTTTTTTTTGTGAACAGTTTGGTTCACAAACAGAAGCATTTGGCAGTGCTTTGTTTTTGTTTGCAAGCTCTGATTGGGTGGCGAACAGACCGTGGCTGTCTTTCCCACGTGAGCATGAACATGGCCATCTTTTCCAGAAGCAAGCTCATGAACCGAGGCACCACCGTAATAACCCAGCCTCCTAGCTAGATTCCAGCCTAGGCATCCCGAGTCCTCCCAAATGGACTTGCATTCCTCCTTCCCACTGCCTTGGGCCCGGCAAAGAAACTCATTCATGGCAGAGTTCTTGTCTCTAGTACGTTTTCAGGCTGTTGGACTTTTGTACGAAATGACCGTTGACTAATACCTCAAATCCAGGCCAAATCAACCAGCCTGTGTTTTTTGTTTTATTTTTAATGCATTTGGTACAGGGTCCCACTGTGCATCTTGGACTCATAGTGATCCTCCTGTTTCAGCCTCCCCAGCACTGAGATTATAGGCATGTATTACCACACCCAGTCTCAGTGGCTGGCTCAGTGTGCCCTGGGGCAGGGCCAGCACCAGCGCAGCACATGGTGCCAGGGGTAGAACCCCAGTCCCTGTGCTTGCCTGATCACGTGCTTAGTCCGCCGAGCTATCTGCATGGCCCTGGCCTATGGTTTTTTTTTTTTTTTTTTTTTTTTTAAATAACCTGGTGTGTAGACTCAGGGTACAGAATGACCCTGTCCAACTGCATTCATCCGAAGCTCTCACCGATGTATGGACACAGGAGGAGAAACTTCTCTTGCCCATTATTGGAAGAGGATAGAGCCGATTAGTTGTGCTGTCATCCTTGTTAATATTTACTGAATACCTCTTCTTAGTGATGTTTGTGTCTTTTTGCTAGTAGTTTGCAGGCTTTCTCAGAGCCCTGGAAAATCAGTGGAAAAGCAAACTATAGAAATTGGCATCACTCCCTGGTGGTGGTTGGGCCACAACCAGCACCCGAATTGGCTCCTCAGTCCCCTTCTAGGAATGGGTCATCCTATAAGAAGGGGACTAAGAGCATCTCAGAAGGAAGGAAAGCAAGTTATCGATCCTTCCGTTACCCATTGAAAAGCATATTGGTGTCATTATTCCTAGAATGGCTCCCACATTGAAGACAGGGAATTCATGGTATTAGAAAAGTTCTTAGGGGTACTGAGATTGCATGCAGAACCGTGGAGGCAAAGCTAAGGAAGAGAGGCTGGGGAGATGGCTCAGTAGAATAAGCGCTTGCCTGGCAAGCCCAAGGGTCTAAGTTCAATCCCTGGTACCACAAAAAACAACAAAGTTAAGGAAGAGATCTGTCTTTTACTGAATCATGGTAAAGCTGGGCAAGAAATAAAATTAGGGCACTGTAGTCCACTGACCTGTGTACTTTAAAATGATATATTTTGATGTTTATATTTCAGTATAATTTTAAAAGTTGGAAAAACGCTCAATTTTCTCTATTGATTTTTATTCATTTATAAATTAAGGATTTAGGGCCGGAGAGATGGCTCAGTAGGGTAAGTGCTTCCCCTGGCAAGTGCAAGGGCCTGAGTTCAATCCCTGGTTCCACAAAATAAATAAATAAATAAATAAATAAATAAATAAATAAAGGACTTAGAGTATAATAGAAGATTTGCAGGACTGGCAAGATAGTTCAGTGGACTAAGTGCCTGCTTAGGCAAGCGCAGGGACCAGGGTTCCATCTCCAGCACCACGTGCTGTGGCAGCCCTGCCCCTGTCTCTGCTGACTTGGCCACTGAGACCAGGCGTGGTGGTGCACGCCTGTAATCCCAGCCCTGGGGCGGCTGAAACAGGAGGATCACTATGAGTCCGAACTGTGTAGTGAGACCCTGTACCAACTACATGAAAAAAATTTTTTCTCTATTTCTTATTAATCAGACCTGTGTTGTCATAGACACAATACTCACAAAAGTAGGCACAAGTGCCATTTCATCATCCATCTGTCCACCTATCCTTTTATAGTAGATACCTTATATTGAGCGCTGTGGTAGGTAAGGTATGTTTACACTCTAGGAACTTACTATTAGCGCTAATAACATTTTGCCTGTGAAGTCTTGTATGCCCAGCAATGTTTTAGAGATAATTGACCCCTTTGTGATTCGAGAGTCCTTCATATAGTGCTGGGCTAGGAAGGCACCAGCGTGTGAGGGCAGAAGGCAGCCTTGGTCTTCCAGAACTTAGTCTAGCAAGGGGACAGACAGTACACTAGTGACAACAAACAGCGTCGTCACAGTGAGGCAGTTCAGGTTGAGCAGTGGTATCAAGCAGAGGAGTTGCTGGTGCTGGAGGGGGAGTGGTAGAAAAATCTATGGCTTCAGTATTAAGAATCTATTGAGGGTCGCCAGATAGCTCAGCGGATTAAAGCATTTGCTTAGGCAGACTCAGGGGCCTGGGGTTGGATCCCTGGCCCGCCATGCTGGCTGAGACTGGGAATGAGACTGGGTGAGGTGGCACACGCCTGTAATCCCAGTGCTTGGGAGGCTGAAAAACAGGAAGGATCACTATGAGTCCAATCTGTGTAGTGAACTGTAGACCCTGTACCTAATGCATAAAAAAAAAAAAAAGACTATTGACCACGTGAGCCTGCCAAAGGGAAACACTGTCCTCCTGGTGGCGCTTTATCATTTTGTGGTTAATCAACATGGATTTGGCCTCTTTGAGATCAGAGATTGTATTGTGCTGTCCCTGCACCTAGCGCACTTCCCTATGGGTGCTGATAAGTGTCCCAGGGATGATGAAGAGAGGCAAACGGGTCACAGAGAATGGTGAGGTGAAGCTGAGTGAGAAAGACAGCGGAATATAAACATCCCCAATGATCAGCGGTCGGGCTAGAAACAGCCCCATGAGAAAGTAGCGTATATCTTGGCAGTCTTGTAGAAAATATTTAATGCTCAAAGCTGTTCGCAAGTTGTGCCATTAAGGAAAGCGTTCAGACGCCTAATGATCACATCCCTTGGCTTGAGACAGTGGACGCTGACAGCTTTCATCTGAGTGCAAACCGCTGGCCTTTAGCACACAGATTTTCATGAATATCATCAGAGTGGTTTGTTGTATGTTGTTATCAGTTGGTGCTGAAAGAAACAGAAGACTGGATAGCTGTGTCTTGTGAATTCCAGCGAGCTGGGATACAAGGCCACAGATAACAGCATTTCCTGGAGGCGCCTTGGGCCTTCTCCTTGGGCCTTGTTTCTTGTTCTTTGCTGCCTGGGGACATCAGGCTTCTGTCTCATATCACTACAGTGGTTCCAATTTTGAACTGAAGGACAGCCTGTGCTGCCCTGGGTCCTGGCAGTGTCTAATGTTCATTCATCAGTCTCTTGAGCTAAACTGGCGCAAGCAGAGAACACGGACTGACTCGTCCTCTTTGAATGCGAAGCATAGTTAAATTAGTGCAGGACCAAGGCAGCAGGTGAGTCCTCGGCTGGGAAGCAAGGCCTGGTGTTGATTCCTAGCTGTGGGGGTCGCCGGTTAGGAGGCAGTTTCCATTCAACTTCCTGACTCAACCAGTAGCTGCAAAGGTTAAACTATGGTCAGTAAACACTGAACATCTTTTCTTTGTAGGGAACTGTACCGAGTGAGCTGAGAGCCCTCCCCTCCTATTCCCATGCTAGGGCTGGGAGTCAGGTGGGGAAGGTACTTGTGTAAACAAATTATTACCAGGAGACCATTCAAGTGTGCGTGATGCCACGAGGAAGAGTGAGGACACTGTGCAGAGGAGAGTATGGGGTGGCACAGAGGCGTGTGGGTCGGGAGATGGGAGACCTGGCCGATGCCGAAGGTCCTGAAGGGTCCCCTGCGGAAATGGTGGCGCTTATACACTGGTAACTGGGACCTGTGGAATCCACAGTTAAAAGGGAAGTTCTTTGCTGCTCTTCCTTCACAAGGCTCTGTCGTTTCTCTACCCGTAACTCTCTGTAGTTCAGTTCTCTTTCATTTATGGGCAGAGGCATTGAAGGAGGAGATGTAAGAGGTACTTTGCCTTCTTTGTTATCAAAACAGTTACTGGGTTTTAGAGCTAGCAGATGACTTCAGAAAAGTGAACATGCCACAGGCTGCATGTTATTCCCCCCTTAAAGAAACAGCTATGGCCAAGGAGATAGCTCAGTGTTCTAAGTACCTGCCTGGCAAGCACAAGGACTTGGGTTCGATCCCCAGTACTGCATGCTGCACTGGCCCACCACCAAGCCAGCCACCAAAACCAGGCGTGATGGCGCATGCCTGTAATCTAGCGCTGGGGAGGCTGAGACAGGAGGATTACTATGAGTCTGTGCTGTGTAGTGAGACCCTTTACCAAATAAAGTATTAAAACAAACAAACAAACAAACAAACTGATGTTCAGGAGCCAGAGAGATAGCTCAGAGGCATAAGCACATACCTGACAAACGCAAGGTCCTGAGTTCAATCCCCAGTATGGGGAAATAAGTGTTTAGAGTAGAGCTTGGGTTATATAAATGCTCAATAAATTTTATTTACTTTTAAGAATGAAGGAACTCTTAAATAGCAAAGAAAAAAAATCCTAAAAAAAAAAATGCCTCTCTGCCTAACCAGAAGCCCTTCATAACATATTGTAAGTGCTTTATTTAGGGCAGAAAATAGCCAGAACATTACTGGGGGCAAGTGATTCCGTGTGACAGCTGAAGCGAGGTGGTGCTCTTTTGCTCTCTGCTCTTCCCGCCTGATCTTCTCTGATGTCTGTGCAGCTGCAGATCTGGGACACTGCAGGCCAAGAAAGATTTCGGTCCATCACCCAGAGCTATTACCGGAGCGCCAATGCCCTGATCCTTACCTATGACATCACCTGTGAGGAGTCCTTCCGCTGCCTTCCCGAGTGGCTGCGGGAGATAGAGCAGTATGCTAGCAACAAGGTCATCACGGTGTTAGTAGGTACGTAAGGGGGCGAGGAGGAGGGGGTCGTGGCTGTGAACTCTTGCCTTTGCATCATGCCTGGGCCCTGGTGGTTTCCAAGAACCTAGTCTCCAACTATAAAACTCATACAGCCAATGTTCAGTTCATTTGTAATGGAAGGGAATCTGAAATGTGTTCTGTCTCTGATGGTTTAGATAGATGAAGTAGAAAACATTGCTGATTGGTTTTTCTGTAAAGCTAGGCACTCGCAGAGAAGTTGCATGGTCATGAAAGTTATATGGGCTGCGATACATTTTTTAAAAAAAAATCTAGTTACAAGATGTTGAAAACTAGTCTAAAAGTAAAATGTATCTTTTAAATTGATAAGGAAATAATTATTGAAGCAATAGTTTATTACCTAAAAAAAAAGACTTCACTTAACTTTTTCCTCTTCTGACATTCATATATTTTAGAAATTCTGTGTTTTAGGAAGAGTCCACTCAAGGAAATGCTGCCATTTGTTTTATCTTTTTTTTTTTTTTTTTTTTTTTTTTGTGGTACTGGGAATGGAACTCAGGACCTTGCCCTTGCCAGGCTGGTGCTTGTGTCGTGGAGCCATTTCCCCAGCAGAAGTTACTTCTGTTTACTGTGTGGGGCAATGGAAAACAGTCCTGGATTTTCGATGGTCATTAATGCATCCATTAAAAGTGCAATTGCAATATAAAACAGGCCAGATCACTAAAAGCTCCTGTAATTGTGATGGAAAAGTGTTGAAAAGCTATATGCTGCTAAACTGCCTTCCTGCTAGGAAGGAATTTTGCTGTATAGTCTAACAAGCCCTGAATTTTTGAAACCTCAGACACATTGTTAAGCTACAAATTGTGGCTAACATTAAGTGCAGTGAACATTTTGGAATAAGCATCGTAACTTGTATTTACGTGTCAGAAGTTATCAAGGACTGTATATGTCACTCTCTGGTTTGAGGTGAGAAACCCAAGGCCTGGTGATGTGAAATTCTCCGCTCTGGGTCACACTGTGTTAGGGCAACTCCTCGGGTCCTCCCTGGTGCAGCTGTGACGTGTTCCGCGGCTTGTGCGGCAGGCTGGGCCGATGTGTGCCTCTTTGCCAGCAAGAGAGCCAGGTCTAAACTAGGAAGCCCTCACGGGCAGCCGTGAGCCTTGGACCCGAAGCACGTGAAAGCCTCCAGCTCCGGCCTTAGGCTTTTGTTACATTTTACAGAAAGTCTTTGAGAATTTTGGCCAAAACTTGACTCTTTGGAATTTTATCTAAGGAAGCGGGTTAGCGCAGTTGTTTAAAGTGTCTGCTTGGCACAGGGGACCGCGGTTCAAACCCCAGCTCCACGTGCCGCACCAGAATCCCCCTTCAGGAAGCCTGAGCCAGGCAAAACTAGAGAAAATCTTTCTCAATTTTTATAGGCTGGGGACATGGCTGGGCGGTCTAAGCACCTTCCTGGCAAGCACAAGGATCCGGGTTCCATTCCCAGTACCCCATGCCATGCTGGCCCTGCCGTGCTGGTGACCAAAACTGGGCAATGATGGTCCACGTCTGTATTCCCAGCACTGGGGAGGCTGCGACAGGAGGATCACACGAGTCTGAGCTGTGTAGTGAGACTTTGTACCTAATAAAAAAATATATAGACATATATATTTGGGCTGGGATATTACTTAGCAGCTTAAGTGCTTCCTTGGCAAGTACAAGGTCCTCAGTTCGATCCCCCGGTACAAATAATAA